AAAGTACAACAAGCCGAGGCAGAGACGTAATTCCATTCGGTCCCCGGCGGCCGAGAGAAACCAGCCGGGCGGAGAGGCAACAAGTGGCCGCAGCTCGCAGAGAGGTAGCTCGGGCAGCGACGCTTCCCCGGGCCGGGTCCCGCTTCACTTTATAAAAAAAAACAACTCGAAGGTGCGCACTCTCCCTCTCCCGCCCCCCAAAACACAGGCCGGCTTGGCGGCCGCAGAAAGGCAGCCGAAAGGCGCTGGCAGCTCCCGGAGAGGGCGGTGGGACCGCGAATGCTGCGGGGAGCCCCGGGATGGGCTCGGCGCTGCTCCGCTCCGCGCTCCCGCAGCCGCGGGGAACCCGCACAAACCGCCCGGACACCGCCGACGTGCCTGATATAAAATTTATTGATCTCTCTTCGTTTGGAAGGAGGAAGCAAACGAGGGCTAGGAACAGGGAAGGAGTATTTAGGCGATTTTTTTTTTTTTTTGGAAGGAATCCGGTAACAAAACTAAAACGTTTCTTCATCCGATATGTCAAAACATGGTTCACAGTAAAATTCACAAACCCATTTACATAAGTTTACAGCTTAAGAAAAACCAAGACACACAACTTACTATAAATAAAAGAAATGCGTTTGCGACCCGCACAGCTCTGCTCTCTCCCACCTCCCCATTTTTCAAGGAATAAAACCCTAAAGTTAAAAAGTCGTGAAAGCTACAGATTGTGGATAGAAACCAAGCGAGGGTCGGTAACAAAATACTGAATAAACCACAACGATTATGWGAACAACCGAGTTTAAAAACGAAAGCCCGCGGTTTTTGTTTATGTCATTGCAACKCTAGAAATCAAACTGGAAGATGCAAGATATTTTAAAAACTTTTAAGCGAATAAAACAGTGCCCAACCTAGGCGGAACCAGGAAAGGAGTTGCCGTGGTTTGAAAACTTCACAGCGGCTTCTAGGAGGCAGGAGTTGTGCTCTATTAAAATAACAACTTGCTCAAATATTATTTCTTGTACAAAAAAAAAAAAAAAAAAAAAAAAAAA